GTGCATGCACCGGTCTGGTATCAGAGGCAGCGAGGGATCCTGACTCTGCAGCCAGGGCATGAGTCCTCTGCATTGAGGAATCTTATAATATTTGATTTAGGTGATTTTTCGAGTCTGCTCTTGTCCTGTGAGCATGATGTGCAGCTGTGATTGCTCACTCATAATGCAAGGGTCAGGGGAAGTGCCAAGAAATGCGGTTGTAGGATGTGGACAGTAAGAACCAGGTCTTGCTGCTTTGTTGCTGTGTGAGGAGTTGCCTGTGTAGCACCAGATGGGAGAAGAAGATGGTAGGAAGAGAGGGAAGAGGTGGTTTGGTGCAGAGACAGGTGGGGCATGTCACATGGGTGGATGACATGTGTGTCCCTTGCACAAAGAAGAATCCTCCCGAGCTGCCCCCTGCTCATCTTGTGCAGGGTGCTGAGAAAGACTCAGCCTCCAGAGGTGATCAGTGCCTGATGAGGGACTCATCACAGGATAACAAGGGGCCGCTACTGTGCCTCAGCCCCATGGGCAACTGCCCACATGAGGGAGGGTCTGGGCTGGCAGGGATCCTGCGTGGCTGTTGCTCCCCCTGCACTCTCGGCCATGCCAGCGTGGGTGCAGCTGTGCCCCGGCAGGAATGAGCGAGGCGAAGGCCCCTTCCTTGGCCAGGGAGAGTGGGTGTCCCAGAGCGAAAGAGGAAGGCACCACGGTGCTCAGTCTTAACAGAAAATTAAAGGGAAGGTTTTGGTGCATTTATCAGCAGGTCTTCTCCATGTTTACTGACCACACACCCCCCAACACCTGCCAGCATTTTTATACATGCTCCCCATGCTCATTTGGAGCTGTGGAAGCTTAGCTCATTGCTCTTATTCTCAGTGTTTATCATTAATGTGGCGATTGGATCCAGCAATCCTCATCACCGAGAGGCTGCTGTGTGTTCAGCGTGCAGGTCTGTCCCTCGCTCCGCAGAGTCACTGCACCAGGAACAGCACCCCAGGCCATTCCCAGGGGCAGACACAGCTTCAAGCAGCGCCCAGAGGTGCAACTTCTTCCCCAGCACCGGTGGTCTGGGCTCCTCTGGGCTCCAGGAGCAACCCATCGAAGGCTCAATAAAGCCAGCAAGAGGGTTATCTCTGAATTATTGGAGACATGCTCTTAGCATTTCCTGCTTCGTGTTTTTCTGCAGTTATTACAATGATATATTAACCAAAAGCTGGAGAACTCCCAGTCAAGGAAATAGGGTATAAAAATAATGACATTGCTTGGTAGAGCCAGCGGGATCTCGGGCACTTCAATGCTGTGTTGGTCTCGGTGGGCCAGTGGCTGCCGTTGCTCGAGTGGAACATGGGGTGATTTGGGAGCCACCCCTGAGCGCTCCCAAGTCATAACAGATTGGATTGCTACCCCAGAAATCTGCATTTCTAGAGTTTACGGTGCTTGGCTTGGTACAGTTGCACTCTCTCTAGTGTCTTTAAATCTGAAGTCCAACTTATATAGCATTTTGACATTTTTCTACTAATATCACTATGGATTAGAAAGACAGACCCCAAGAGAAGGATGGGTGAAGGGCTGCCAGTTGAAGGCACACAGCAATTCATCAGTGCTGAGCTACCCTGTGCAATATTTTAAAGGGTAACAGGTTATGTCTTAGCTCAGACTTGTATGCCATCTCTTAGACCTGTCTGTGAGCTCCTGAAGGTTCGTTCGGTGAGAGTCTGGGGTTTGATTTCTTTATGCCCTTGTGACTGTAGGTGTTACCTACCTCAAAATCTAGGCAACTTGGAAATGTCTGTGGTTGCTCGTTTGTTTGGGGTGGGTTTTTGGGTTTGGGTTTGGGTTTTTTTAAAATCCTCACCATTTTAACTTGCATTCAGGTCTTTGTAAGACCTATTCTTGTTTGGTAGAACAAGACTTCGTGCCACACTTTGCAGCACTACGATTCTGTAGCGCCTCCTGATTTCAGAATCGGTGCCGGGCTGTATCCCGGCCAGGCTGCACAGAAACCCCCCGGGAGTGCCGGCAGCGTGCCCCGCGCTCTTCCATGGGAATAACCCCGCGATCAAAGGGACAATCTCTGCAAATTACCCTCCCCGGGGGAACCCCGGTGCCGGCACGGGGCGCGCTGCTCGGGGATTGAGGATCACGGAGCGCTGGGCTCGCCCCCAGCCGGGCTCCGGGGGGACCTTGGCGGCCCCGCAGCCCCCCGGAGGGGCCGGGCCGGGGGGGGCAGGATCCGGCCACGAGCCCCACCAAGCGGTGGCAGCTCCTGCTGCAGCCCCGGAGCTGTGCCGGGGCCGGGGGATGGGGAGAGAACCTGCCTCTGTCGGACCCTGAGCTGGTGCGGGGGATGCAGAGCAGGATGCTCCAGCCTGCAGCTGGACCAGCTCCGAGCACCCAGCGCCGCCGGCCATCCCCGAGCTCTCCGTCCGCGGAGGATCCGACAGGCAAAGCTCTCCTGTCCCCGTGCCCAGGAAGGACAACGAGGACACTGAGCATCTTTCTTACCAGCGTGCCCAGCAGGGACAGGGCAGGGATCTGAGCCCTGGGCTCGGCACTGGGGAGGCCGCCCCTTGCTGAGGGGGTTCAGTTTTGGGCCCCTCACCCTAAAAAGTCCATTGAGTGACTTGAGCGTGGCCAGAGAAGGGCAACGGAGCTGGGGCAGGGTCTGGAGCACAGGTCTGCTGGGGAGCGGCTGGGGGAACTGGGGGGGTTCAGTCTGGAGAAGAGGAGGCTGAGGGGAGACCTCCTGGCCCTCGGCAACTCCCTGCCAGGAGGGGGCAGAGAGGGGGGATGAGTCTCTGGAGCCAAGGCCCCAGCGCCAGGCCCCGAGGGAATGGCCTCAAGCTGCCCAGGGCAGGGTCAGGCTGGCTCCGAGGAAGGATTTCTGTGCAGAAGGGGCTGTTGGGCGTTGGAATGGGCTGCCCAGGGCAGGGGGGAGTCCCCATCCCTGGAGGGGTTGAAGAGTCGGGCTGACCCAGCGCTGAGGGATCTGGGGGAGTTGGGAACGATCAGGGTGAGGTTCGTGGTTGGACTGGAGGAGTTTCAGGGGCTTTTCCAACCCAGATGATTCTGTGATTCTGAGTGAGCGGAGGTGCTGCTTGGCTTTTGAAGGCCTCCATACAGATGGCTGCATCTGAGTGAATCGCCTACGCTCCTTTGTTGTCAGCAGTGAGAAATGAGCACAGTTCATCTCCTCCTGAAGGACGTGACTAAAAACAGCCCTGTTGTAGTGTTCCCTTGAAGGACCTGTTCCTGTGACCCTGTTCCTGTGACCCTCTCAGACATGAAAAGTCCACATCAGCATGTCTGCAGCTAGGTGAAATGAGCCCCGTGCTCCCTCTCCCCCACAGCTGGATTTCTGCAATAAGCTGCTGGCAGGGAGGGGGAAACATCATCTGGCTGTTTCCCAGCCTGCCCTGTTCCCCAGTTCCTGCCAGCCCCATGCTGAGGGGTGAGCCCACATCTCTGGGTGCCCCAGACCTGTGTCGGGGTATGCGGCAGCCTGAGGATGGGACCAACACTGCTTCACAGCATGAGCATGGCCCAGTGCAGGTGGAGAGCGAGGGGTGTCCCTGGGCCGCTCTGACAATTCCTCCCCCTGATTTTAAATCTGCCAAGACAGCCTGTTTTTTCACAGCACTGGGATGCTGTTGCAGGATTACCTGCAGGGTAGGCAAGCTTCCTGGGCATGTTTCTGGATGGACACCAGGTACAAAGCCTGCCCTAATCCTCCTGGTTTATAACATTGAGCTTTCCTGCTTGTTTCCCACACTTCCACATACTGATGCAGTAACAAAAGCTGTCTGGCAGCATTTTATAGGCTTTTCTGTACCATAACCTGTGTGCTTCTTACACCACCATGTAGTCACAGAGAAGGCTTTTTTGGGAGTTGATGAGGGAGCTCATGCAAGATGGTGGAACTCCCAGGGGAGAGCCAGCAACTGAATTCCAGTTTCCTTCCACTTCCTGCCATCCAGCATGAGACCATCATCCCTCCACCACTAGACTGAAAAAGAGGCAATCACACACTTTCCAGGCAAGGATCAGAGCAGCACTCAATGAATATCATCACGATGGTGGATGTGCATGAGGTGCAGCTAGCACTGCCCACCCGAGCTCTGCCCAGCGGCAGGACAGCCTCATCTCCAGTGGGTTTAACCACCGAAACCCAAACCGAGTGCCACAGGCAGGACTGAGCCCTATAGCTTGTGTCCCGTAACATGCCAGGGCACCCCGTATCCCCTTCTGTAGGATGCTCTGCAGAGATGTGTACCCAGACCCAGTGCCTCGACCCCGTCCTGTCTCAGCTCCCTGCTGCCAGTGGTTCACCTCAACCTGATGAACATTTTTCCAGGACTCATTGGGAATGTGGTTACTGGGATCTTTTCCTCTTCTTCCTCATTCCTGGTACTTCTCTACCCGCTTTCAGTTTTTTCACTCCTTCCTTTGGCTTCTCCTCTGCAAATTTATCATAAAGTTGTTGAGTCTGGTGGCTGAGAAACAAGAACTGCTGAATCTTTGGGGGCACCAGAAGTTTCCTTTTGCTGTGGTCCCTTCACCTTGCCCGGAGCGCTGTCAGGGAGCAAGCTGGCTGCAGGCAGAGTCTCCTGCGGCCCGAGGATGCCGACGGTCCTTGCATCATCAGGGACCTGTGCTGCTGGGATGATCTGTCCCAGAAGTCAAGGGCTGTGGCCTCACAGGCTTCTCTGCCTTTGCTTATCTGTGACTGGAACAAAGTCACACCTGAGTGAAGCCACCAGAAAGGTAGAAACTCCACCTTTCTCTGGGATGTTTTCCTGGTGGACTAAAACTTTGACAGTGATTTGCTTCTTGTGGCGTTCAAAGCCTCACTGACACTCAGGCAGTGCCGTGGGATGTAGCAGCAGTGGTGATGCCCGCCGCAGGGGTGTCCTACACCCTCTGGGCAGGTCCTTACAGCACAGTCTGTGATGGGCTTGAGCCACCCTTTGCAGTGCTGAGCCCCAAGGTCTGAGTTTCCCTTTGCTTTTGTCCTGCAGTCCCACCCGCTGTCCCTGTGCAACACCAGCGAGGATGAACACACTGAATCGGGGTTCATCACCATTGTCAAGCTTGAACAGCCGGATCGGGATCCCAACCCGTGCCTGTCACTGGCTAACAAGGTAGGTGCAAAAATGCCCCCAATGGCACCAACCTGGGAAGTGAAACCCATGGGGCAGGAAAAGTGAGAGCAAGAGGAAGCAACAGGGTAGGAAAGAGCTGTTGGAAGGTGAGAAAAGCACAAGAATAGAGCAGGGTCCTTGGCAGAGGTGTCCTTTGGGAGAGGCACTGTGCCAGCCATCCCCAATACCCATCCCTCCTTATTTTTTGGACTGCCTGGCTTTGTAAAAGGTGTGAGTTTTCCCTAACCTGACTGTTCTGGGACAGCTCAGACCTTTCCCCAGCATCCCATAGACTTTACTGCCTGTTAGCCTCCTACTCCTCCTGTTTTGTAGCCTCCCCTTGCTTGCTGGCCTGTTGGGGGGATTTGTGTTTCCCCGTGTCCTCTGTCCTGTGGGAAAACATGGACACAGGAAACATCTTCTGTGGTCCTGTCTTTAAAAATAATACTGTGATACTTCACTGGATGAAGCACATGAAGAGTCAGTGCTGAGCAATTCAGATAAATGCAAACCAGACGAACTAGTGGTGGGACGTGACTCTTAACAGCATGGGCCACCATCTGCCCCACAAAGGGATGGGAGATCTCAGAGGCCTTGAGATCAGGTCTCCTGTGGAAGGGGTACCTTTGTGAAATAGCAATTACTGTGTCAAAAGCTGAGGGCACTGGTATAACTCTCTGGTAATAAGGAAATCAGGTAGGAATGAGGGTCATTTTAAGTCTTCAAATCTTTGTGTCTGATAGAGTTGTGTGGATAACGCTAGCATTAGCTTTTTCTTCAGTGGTTCACTGCGTCTGTTTATTGTCTCAGTACTAAATGTTGTGATATTTTCCACAAGCACTGTACAAACATGAGAAAAACCTTGTTTAGCTCTTCTTGGCTTTTTCTGGATTGCATCCAGGTGATGCTGCTCCTGTTGTCTGCTTTCTGCTGGCAGTGACATACCAGGGATGGGGACAAGGTCCTTTTCTGGCCTCCCTGCAGCTCAGCTGAAGAGGGCAGGCACAACTGGTACCAAGCAGTTGTTCCTGCACAGCCGTTTTTTTTCGCAGAGGCTGTGGCAACAAAACCAAGGAAAGGGATGTGATGCTGTGTTGGATTTGCCCCCTTGGGGCTTCTTCCCCCCAGCTGCATGGGCAACCAGGTAGCAATGCCTACCCCTTTCTGGGCCAGGGTGGAAGCCTAAGTTTGGTTTGGTGCTGCTCTGGAGCTGCCAGCTGTTAGCAGAAGCCAGTGTGCTGGAATTATGGACCTGTTATCAGTTACCCCACATCTGGAAAATGGCCTGGTCCCACCTGTGGGTGTTAGTGATGCACGAGGGTGGTGGGATAAAGAGTGAACCCAAGGGCTTCCAGTTCAGCTTGTGATAGACATGAGAGCGAGGGCTCTGCGGGCACCTTGAAAAGCACAGCTGGGTACTCCAGCTCTCCCGTGTCCATCCAGATGTGACCATCATGTTATAGTGGTCCCAGGCTGCCACATCTCATGAGGGAGGATGCTGGGGGTGGGGGCAGCAATGTCTGGTCTGGTCAGTGTAGCTGCTGTGGAGGATCTTGAACAGGAGGAAGGAGCAGCTTCAAAGACTTCAAACCTAAAAGGTTTAAAAACTGTTTTGCTAGCTTTGCTCTTAATCTTTGAGTCTCTGATCACAGTACTTGAAGTACTAGTGTGTTACTGAGTCGAGGGATTGGCTGAAGAAAGTCTGCAGAGAGGACAAGACGTGGTACATTGCTGCACTATGGTCATGCTCCTTAGTCTTGATGCCTTCCAGTAGCCCTCCCAAAGCAAGTAAACCTCTCAGTTCATTGCCATCCTCATGACTTTATAGAGTGACAGTTCATTGGCCTTTAGTCATCATTGCTTTGTTACCAGAGCGGAATCCAACACTGGATTTTGAGATCCAGCTGAACATGACATAGGTTGCCATCCTGCCTGCAGGCAGTCCTGCTTCAAGATCTCACCCAGGGAGGCTCACAGCTCTTGACCCCCAGATAGGACTAGTTTAGCCATGAAATACAGGCAGATGCTGGCCATATCCCCAGGCTCTGCCTTGTACCTTGGTTCCTCCATCCCCCTGCAATTGCCATCTGGCTGCTTCTCCATCCTCCTGAAGCCTCTGCCAAGCTTCTTCCCTCCAACATCATACACACCTCTTCCTCAAAATCCCTGGACACCTCTTGTCCTCAGGAGCAGAGATGTAACTGTGGGATGTGGCTGGTGCTCGCCGGAGCAGGAGCCTTGTTTTCCTGGCATGTGTTTCTTGCGGTAGAGCTTTGCATGTTGAATTGCAGGGCTATATCAATGATGATAAAAATAGCCATGTGCAAAGTGTTATCATAACCTCTGCTTTAGCTGTCACTCAGCCAAGCAGTGCACACAGGCAACCTTGTCCAGCCTAGCATGAGGATAACTCCAGCAGCCACCTGATGCCCTTTTCTGCTTCTCTCATAAATTCTAGCACTGCTTCAGCACCAGTAGGGAAGGTGTTTGGTCTGCAAGGGGAGAGGAAGGTCTGGAAAATACCTCTGGAATCAGTTCAAAGTGATTTTTTTTTTTTTTCGTTTTTTTTTTTTTTTTTTCTGAGGGAACCACTGATTGCAAGTCTGGTTGACAGACTGCTGAAACCTCCTAAATCATCCTGTAAATACAGATTTGCACCAGAAGTGTTTCAATCCTCAAAGAGGGAGGTCAGCTCTGCAGTGCAGCTGAAGAGATCCAACACAAAGACAGGAAGAACTCTGAAAAATATTGCAGCAAGCAGGTTGTGAATAGCTTGAACAAAAGTTGTGTCCTTTGCAACAGGAGTTAGATGCTGGGAAGAGTCACTCATCCAGTCTGTTGTTCGTTTCTCCATCGTTAGTGTCTTTAGCAGGATAAAACCTTTGTAGATCTGTTCACTGTTCATCAAACCTTGACTGTCTCCAACGGGTGGAAATCACTACCTGAAAGTCCTGTTTCTTCTTCGGAGCTGGCAAACGCTGGGGCTCCTTTGATCCCAGGCTGGACCCCAGTCTCTGATCCCTGCCCCAAGCCTCTGATCCCACTTTTCCAGCTTTCCCATCTGGTATACCAAACAAACCCAAGAGTGTCAAATCCTGTCAGCAGCTCAGAGCCTTCAGCGCTGCCTCCGTGGCCTTCCCGACCTCCATTCACATCCTGTCCCTGTCCCCAGACCCCCACCTCTGGCACCCAGCTTCTCCCCAACAAGGCTCATGGAGGTAACCATCACCTGCAAGCGAGGGATGGAGCTAAACCTGCTCCAGCACCGCTTGCCACGCTGGGAATGCCCCTTCCCTTCCCTCAGCCCGCGCCCTGCGTTTGATATTCCAGCTGGGAAGCGGCGGCACTGACCTCTGGCCCCTGAGCTGGGGTTTGGCAATGCAGTGGGTAAACTGCTGCAGCAGCTCCGGCAGCTCCCTGTTTGCACAGGCGCTCGGGGACACGCAGATCAAAGGGCTCCGCATGAGTAACAGTGGCCCAGCCCTGCACTTTGTTCATGTTCTCTGTCTGCCTTTCACAAGAGGCTGCCTCTGCCTGCCTGGAGGGCTCGAAGGGCTTGGTGGGAGGACGTGGGTGACCCTGCAAGGTCCGCCAGGCAGTATGCTTTGACCTCACCAGGGTGGCATGTACACTCATTTGGGTGGGTCTCAAAGCTGTCCTCAGACCACAGCAACTGGTGGGCTGTGAAAAACCATCCCACTCCTAATCCTAGACCAGACCTGCAGCCCAGACTTCACCTGAGCTTTTCCCTAAGGAATGCAGGGGACCAAGGAGAGCAATGTGGGGGTGGTCAGGCCCACAGACAGCCCGTGGCTGGTGCAGCCGTGGTGAGAAGTGGGGACCTGCAGAGGCTTCTGCTGTCCTGGGACAGGAGGGTTGTGCAGCAGTCAGCAGAGCTAATGGGGCTGCAGGTCCCTCCTCTGCAAATCCAGCTCTGGAGCAAAGGGGCACACAGCACAGATGTGTTTGGTGTTTAGGTTTACGGGTTGCTGTGACTGTAAGCCCACCAACTAATTTGCCTCCACAACCATAGGGAGAAACCATCCATGAACCACAGAGCCCTAGCAAGAGCAGGCACTGCAGCTCAACACAATGCAAAAACCAAGGTGTAAATGATTTTCTCAATCTAAGCAGCAGGTGCTTCTTTCTTCCGTGAAGAGCCAGGGAGGCAGATACGTATCCAAACAGTAGATATTAACCAGATGTACAATACAAAATGTCCACTGAAGCTTCTGTTCTTTTGGATAGGCAAAGCTGGCGGGGGAGCGTGGAGCCCGTGCGATCCTTTTTGACATTACTGATGATGAAAGCGCTGCTGATCAGGTACAAACTCCATTGATATTATCAGCTAAACCACAGTGCCCCTGTCCCATCCCAAAATGTGCGCAGGTCAGGACCCACCAGCCACCAAGACACAGTGGGAGGTCCCAGGAGGACACTGCAGGCTGGCTTTGAATGTCAGCTCTTGCCCAGCTCGTCCACACACACAGACAGCGCTTTTCTCTTTTGCTCACTTCATGGCACAGCCAGAACTCCACACAGCACAAGCAGGCCAGCAGCTTTCTGCTCTCAAAGGACATTGTCTGCTCAATTAAACTTCTCTGCCAGAAGCTGGATTTTTCCTCTTGGGAAGTCACAGATTATATGATCCCATCTAGTACAGACAGCCCTGGTGTACCTTAGGGGTAAGATGATATCTTGAGTTTTTAAGCCAAAGTCACGGCCACCCTGCTGTGCTGTTGGTGGTACTTCTGCTGCAAGTTTAGAGACCTCCAGAGGTCCCTTCCACTGCCATCTCTGGAAAGGAATAGGTTCCCCATCAAAATAATCAAGGGATAGTGAAAAGTGTCCAGCATTAGATAAGAGGACAGATAGAGGAGCTGGTGCCTGAGTTTACCAAAACTCTGGGCTGACTCCTGCTTGCTGGATCTGTCCCTCATGGTTCTTTCATGCACTTAAAACTTAATTTCTGATGCCTGAGAAATGCAGCAAGCGAGTGCAGGCCCATGAGGTGATGCTGAGGTTGCTCAGTAGGGGTATGGGAAGTGGTTCGTGGCTCAGAGCGCCACGCTGATTCAAGTCAGTCTGGAGGGGAGGGCAGACTTGGACATTTGCTGAGCTACCCAGGCCAGGCTGACTGGACCATGGTGGGAAAAACAAACAGAATGTCCTGCAGATCACAGAGGGAGGAGGGGGAACATGGATGGATCTCACAGGAAGAAAAGAGGAAGCATTTCTGTAGTGAGGCAACACTTGACACTGTTGGCAGTTATCACGTGGAAGAGGAGAGACCACAGAGGTTTGAGAGGAGCACAAGAGACACTGAGCAGTGTCCAGTTGTGCATGAGGAGGCAGCATCAGAGGAAATGAAGATATCCATGCTGAAGAGTTCTTAAAAGAGGAGGAACTTCCATCTGATTTCATCATAGAAGGATAGGGCAAGTTTGGGGTAGCAGTCAGTCTCTAAAGTGTGTGAAAGAAGCACTGGGAGGAACCCAACGTGCCTAGGGGGCCAGGACAGTCCTTGTTTCAGGCTGTTCTGGACCATCTCCCACTGTGTTTGTCTCTTTACAGCTGAGAAAGCCCCGAGGTCTGAGTCAGCCCGTGGTTCTGATCAGGGGCCACGATGCTGAGCTTCTCATGGGCGTCGTGAACAAGAACAGAGAGGCCCACGTGAAGATAGAGGTCAAGGAGCCACCAGCTTGGGTGAGAGATGCACCATTCCCACTACCTTCTGTATCCCCCCTCCCAAGCTGCTGTGCCACATAATAGGACTTTCCCAAAGATGCTGAGGTTTCCTCCCCAGGGATGGAGATTGCAGCCCTTTGCAAGAGCTGCCTGTCTGCAGCATTCAGATGACATGCTGCAAATAAAGGCTCAAAAGCACTTTCAACTTACTTAGTTTCTTATGCTTAAACATCACAAGTGAGGCAAGGGGATTCCGTGTCTCTTCAGGTGAGACCAAGCCTTGATCTTTTCATCTTGAGCTACCTTAGACCATGACCTCTAGGGACCTGAGGTGCTGCGAGATAGAGAAATGCCATTGCCGCTGGAGGCCAAGGATCACGTGTTCAAAGGCTGATGGTCAGGAAGAGATCAGGATTCTTCTGCCTAGCCTCTAATTCCCACCCCTGCCACACATGAGTAGTTTCTTTTCTGTTTTATCCAACAGCCAGACTACGATGTGTGGATTCTTCTCACAGTGGTCAGCACTGTGGTCGTCATCATTTTGATTTTTGTTGTCCGCACAAAGTGCCAGCTGAACAGGACTCAGGTAGGAATCTCACAGAGCAGATGTGTCTGAACAAACAAAAACTCATGAAGGGCAGGAATGGGCACAGTTTGGGAGGGGAAATGGGCCTCTGTATGAACTGAAGATGTGGCCACGTGAGGCACGTGGGCTGGCAGCATCCCTCCTGCAGTGGCTTTGCTCTCCTCCTGCTGCCTTGCCAGCACTGCAGCCTGCAGTCCCAGCACCTTTCAGAGCTTGTCCCAGCACCCAGATCTGCAGAGTCAGCCCACAAGCTCTTAACAGTATTGTCAGTATTGGTAGAGAGTATTAGATTTAGTATTTTTAATAGAACCTAAAAAATTAAATAATCATCTTTCCAGACTCAGATGTATTTCCAGATTTGAGAATATCCCATTTGTCCTATAGAAAGACAAGCCTTTGGGGCTCAAAAATTCAGGATTGCTGAGTGATTTTGAATGTCTACTGCCAGATGTCTCCTGCTGGTGACAAAGCCTGCTCTGGCTAAGCCAGGTTAGACAAAGTTACCTCTGGAAATGAGTATCACCTCCGGATTCCAAAACAGAAGGGCAGTGAGAAGTACGGCAGTGTAAGGCTGAGCCTCTCCTTAAAGCCTCCTTTCTCCCTGGCAGGACTCCTTGCAGCAGCAGACCATGCAGGCCATCGGGCAGCTGGCCACACGCAGGTACCAGTCACGATGCCGGCAGGCGCCGCGGTGGGACTCGACCAGCAGCTGCAGCTCAGCCCCAGTCTGTGCAATTTGCCTGGAGGAGTTCAGTGAGGGCCAGGTAGGGTGTGGACATGGCTGCTGGATAGCCACGGCTCTGAGCTTCCCGGCCACAGTCAGGGGGAGCTGCGGTGGGAGCTGAGCAGTCTAGCAGGGGTGGGAGGCCCTTGGGGTGTTTCCTGTAGCAACTCCTGAGGGCTGGGAAAGGACCAGCATCAATGGAAGTCTGCCTGCCCCTTGGCCAAAAAAGCCCTGCCCTGGCTGAAGTCACTTGCAGGCAGATTCAGATTCCCTGAAGATGTGTCTCCAGCTGTTGCTGCAGGGTAAAATGTCCATAATACCTCCCCATTCCCGAGGGCTGGCACCTCTCTGGACGTTCACACCCCAGAGCTGGACGCAGTGAGCAGAGCCAGAGCTGCCCGTCTGTTGCACGGCCTCCTCCATGGGCAGCAGATTGCTCGCCAGTAGACATCTTCCCATCCTACACGGCTTGCTTCCATCAAGAAGGACCCATCCATGGTTCTTCTTGCTCACACTCCTCCTCTTCTCTCCACCTCTCGCTAGGAACTGCGGATCATCTCATGCTCCCATGAATTTCACCGGGCATGTGTTGACCCCTGGCTGCAGCAACACCACACGTGTCCACTTTGCATGTTCAACATTCTTGGTAAGGCTCAGACACAGCATTTCTTGGCCAGGGACAGGGCTGGTGGCAGGTGTTGTCCCCAGGAAGTCCATGTACCCTTGGATGACGCAGTCAGTGTGTCAGCAGGAGCACGTGGGTGTACAGGGCAGTGTGTACATGGAGAGGGGTCCCTGTGCGTGTCAGCACCTGCAGCATACAGTGGGGTACTGGGCTTGGGCTGGGACCTGCACCAAGAGGAGGGATTCCTTGTCCTGGGACCTGCCAGGAAGGGGGGTGGGATCTGAGGGTCGGGGCAGACCATCAGGATGGTTTGGTGGTGGCAGTGAGGAGTTGCAGGGCACGTGTAGGACATGGGACCGTAGTGGGAGTGCAGTGGAGGCTTGCTGGTTCTGGGGCTACTGCAGCTGGGCTGTGGATTGTACGCTGGATGCTCCCTTCTCTCTTCACAGACAGAGACTTGGTGGACCAGGCCACAGCCGCTGGCTCCCGCCTGGCCCCTCGGGACATGGAGCCCGGACGGCGACTCCACCTTTTCCGCCAGCACCCAGGACATGCCCTTTACCACCTTCCACACGCGTATCCTCAGAGGAACCTCAGGAGCTTTCCCCCAGATCCAGCCCATGGCAACCCCTTCTTCCACTCTCCGGAGCTCTCCCAGCTGGATTTTGGCACCATCCACTACATGCCCTACAGGCCAACCTCCCTGCTCGCCTGTGGCCACCCGTCCCCCCTGGCCCCGGGCTTGCTGGGCCAGCAGCATCCCAACCCCTCGGCATGCGGACAGACGCTGTCACCCCACAGGACTTGTTCTCTCCAGCCCCAGCCTCCCTGCCCGGGGCTCAAGGCAGCCCTGGCGCAGAAGCAGCACCGTGCACCCGCCCTGCGCCGGGGGGTCAGCCACGGGCACCAGCACAACAGCAGTGGCTCTGGGGAGAGCTATCTCACGGACCACAGCGGGTACCTGGCAGATGGGCCAGGCAGTGATTCCAGCTCAGGGCCCTGCCACGGTTCCTCCAGTGACTCCATGTTGAACTGCACAGACGTCAGTCTGCAGGGCATCCACGGAAGCTGCTCCACTTTCCGGAGCTCCCTCAGCAGCGACTACGACCCCTTCGTGTACTGCAGCTTGGAGGGACCTGCCATGGACCACAGCCAGGAGCAGCCGCGGCCGCTGAGGGAGACACGACCCAGGTCCTTGGACCTGATGGTGCCTGGCGGTGCTGCTCCGGCCAAGCCGCAGATGCTCAGCCACGTTCACTACCACCATCACCAGCACCATCACTACAGACGAGACACAGAGTGTCCACCCGGGCGGGCCGGGCAGGTGCCAGGGCAGCGCAAATCCCGGTACTCTGGGGCCAAGGTTGGCTTCCATGGTGCTCGGACACAAAAGAGGACCGAGAAAAGCCATCACTGTCAGCAGCCTCTGGAAAGCAGCACTGTGCTACAGGAGGCAGCTTCGGCAGGACAGCCAGCCTGTCCCCAGCAAGGCCAGGAGCCCCCTCATGCCCCCTCCACTTCTCCAAACAGGTTGGACTTCAGCGTAGATGCCAACAGACAATCGGGATCAGCTGGCACATCCCCTGTCATGCTGCCCCCGAGACACAGCTTACAGAGCCGTCATCACCGAAGGAAAAGAAAGTGTCCCCTGGAGCCCGACCCTTCTCTCCTGCCTGAGGACTCAGCCTTGCCCAAAGCCTGCGATGCTCAGGTTCCTCACAGCCATCCCGCTGGCTACCGCTGCTCGCCCGAAGTCCAGCCCCTGATCCCAAGCGCTCCCCTGCCCTATGGCTCAGGCTCCCGGCCGCTCTGGAAGTGTTTAGTGCCACAGCCTGGCTTAGAGCTGAAAAAGCAGGAGGAGGTGGTGTCAGGACAGGAGGGAAACCACACGGTTCCTGCTGATTTCTCAGGGACAGGCACCCCCAGACATAGTCTGAGTCTTCACCTTCACTGCCCCTCTCAGCAGGGTGGTCAGGGTAAGTCTGGTGTTTGCCTCTTCTTGCAGCAAAGCAGGTGACGGAGGGTGGTTTGCTGAAGGTACTCTGGCTGCCAGTACACCGTACCTTTACAGTGCGCTTTTGTACAAGACCACTGACAACAGAAGCATTTCAAAGCTCACCTGTCTGGAGATGATGGCCTCAGCAATTAGCAAGTCTGTTAATGAGTGCACCAAACCTTGCAGTCTCATCCTAAATACAAATTTGAAATAAGGTGGCTATTTTTAACTAAACAGCTCTAGCAGCTGGAATATCTCCCAAAGGAAGAGGTGGGACTATGTTTCTCAGTGTCTTTACATTGGTCTGGATGCCTTAACGGCAAAGTCATTATTATTGGGCTCTAGTTGTTTTAGCCAGCCCCAGCTAACTGGAATCAGTAAGGACGTGTGCGTGGCCAGTGGTAGTAGGAGAACAGACTAAATGAGTTTATAGATTTGTACATCCCTCATTTCTCACCTGCCTCTGTTGGATGGGAGTTGCTTTTTAGTGTCTTTTGGAAATCAGACATGATGAAAGTTTGGCCCTTTGCATAACTGCTATACATCTCTTGCTGAGAAAGGGAAAATATATTTGAGACAATGCTGTTTGAAAGAGCCTGAGTTTAGCTCCCAGGTCTTGCTTTCTCAGGTTCCTCTGAATACAACAACCTGCAAGTCAGCATGGGCAGGTGCTGGCTCCGAGCAGAGCCTGGCTCCCTTCCTCGCCCTGCCGCTGACTCATTGCAGGTCCTTGGGCAAATCGTTTTGATTTAGGTACCAAATACAGATCTAGCTGCCTAATTTCTGTTAAAATGCTGGCCTTAAACTCATGACTCACCATGCCCATTGTGCTGCGGAGATAATAACTTCCTCTCCATGCTTGTCTATCCAGCCCTACACCACACCCAGGCTGCTGGTGGTGCAGCACCTACCGAGGAGGCAGCGGGGACCAGGGAGAGGCTGGATGGGGCACAGTGCTGGCTGCCTGTGGCGCTCCAGGCTCTCAGACTCCCAGGAACAGATTTATTTTTTTTTTCCCAGGCGCAGAAGTGCCTGACACTGCAGATAGATAGGTGATACGATAGGTTCTTCAAAGGGCCCCGAGGGATGTTGCCGTTTTGAGAGTTAAGGAGGCAGCAGTGCAGAGACTCTGCGAGTCGCTCTGAGTGCTGATGTCCCCTGAGTTGGAGGCAGTAGGCGATGGTATCACGAGGACACAGGCCTCCCAGGATCACAGACGGGAACCTCCACACGGAGAGAGCCCTCCTGGCATGAGGGCAGGCTGCTCAGGAGTTGCTTTGAGCTCCCATTTCAAAATGAACCTGGGATGACCCCCCAGGCCACCAGAGTAGCAGTCTGTGCACCTAACGCAGGGCACTGGGTGCTGCAGTGCTCAGGGCCTCACAAGGGTCTGTGCCGTGATGCCTCTGTCTCTTTGTAAGACAGCCCCAGCGGCCTAGATCTGCACCCACCTCCTGATGGTGTGATGGGGGGAAGGCTCTGTGGGTGTGCGCAGCCTTCGCTCCCTCTCACCTCCCTTTACCAGGAGCTAGAAGGACCAATGTGTCTGAAAGCCGTGTGACTCTGACTGCAGTAACTTCTGTGGGTGCTTTCAGGACCAGTCAGAATCTCCTTGTAAAATTGAGAAAATACATAGAAAGGAAGGATTTAACTTTATTAGGAACTGAGAACAGTTGAAGAGAGCAGGAGCTCATGCAGGGCTTATGCAGAAAAGCCATCAAACTGAAAACATGTTGGTTGACATAACACAGCCTCTGAGGTATAATAACATAATCTTTCTTTATCTTAGAAAGGGACTGGGCATAAATCAATAGAGACCAAGTAAAAAGAGCAAAGAACAATCTCAGTAGACAGTCCCATATAAGCAAGACAATAAAATAGTCAAGGAGACCAAGGAGAAATGCATACATGCCTCTAGATAAACGTTGTAAGGCTAAAAATATAAGTGGAGGAATTAGAAAGCCCAGCTTTAAATTAGTTTTGACATAAACTTTTCAGAAACCCAGTTTAAAAAAAAAAAAAAAGCCAACAAATCAACAGTGAGACCTTGTAATTCCCATGTAAAATTACAGAGAGAAGAATGTGACTCTTCTGGTGGCATGGGAGGGACACTATGCATTAAGGAGAGTGTCAAGTCCAATGACAAATAACATAAAAATCCCCAATTGTGCCTAAGTAGGAGGAGTATGGTATTAGGGTTATAATACATATATATGTATTAGCACAGGCTGCAAAAGAGGAGCCTACATATACATGAGAACCTTCTTCAAATAATACTAAAAGAAGCAGTCAAAAGAATAAGATGCTTTTGGGCACAGGGATCATTTAAAGCCCCAGAAAAGGGCTGGCCAAGCAGCAGAGCAGAGAGAGCAATTAGAAACAAGAAGCTGTTCTTCCAAAGCGAAGGTGTGGCTAGACAAAAGAAATCAGAAGCGAGTTGGATGCAAAGCTAAATGCAGAGCCATGGTGAGGCAGGCCAGGAAGCATTTCTATGAACAACTTGTGAAAAAGAGAGAGACTATTAATGCAAACATTTTCATCAGAAGGAAGAAGGCTGCCAGAGGCTCTGCAGGTCCAGGGAGTAACTCAGGGATGTTCAAGGGCTGCAACTGCATAGTAGAAGAGCAAACTGAACTTACTGCATTAGTGATCAACATGGAAGCGCTTGAGGAGGTTCTCAGCCAGGCACATGTCTGTTCAGGGCATGGGGTAGAGGATCCCTCATAAATCAGATCATCAGTTTGACCGTTTCTGAAACGCACCAATAAAGTGGATAGTAACAAATTGCCAGGGCTACAGATCACTTCCCTGGGCATCGTGCAGGAGCACAAGCACAGAACTGCTAAATCACAAACGTGGACTCCAATCTGTTATCCATGCCCAGAGCCAGAAGGAAGAGCTGAGGGCAACATCGGCTTGAAACAGCTGAAGCTACAGAACAACGAGCCTGACTTTCCTGCCAAGCAAATTGTTAAAAATTCAAATACAGGGTCTGACTTGTAGGCACATGGCTAAATGTGAAAACCAGGGGAGGAAGCAACACAACTTCTGTAGAGAGAGATAACGCCTCACAGATCTTTTATGGGAATGAAGCTCTCAAAGGATAAAAGGGAAGGTGCTCTCATAGGTAAATAACTTGCTAAAAAATTGAAGACAAAGTGCAGATCAGTCTTAATGGAGGAAAGTTACTCGGAGAAGGGGGAAAATAGAGTTCTCCAACTGTCTGCACCTTTCAGCAAGCTCATAAATATCGTGGACAAGGAGAGGAGATAGCAAAGTTTATAAAAGACAAAATCCTTCAGTATTGTTGGCTTTAAAACTGTTTACAAAGTGTTACAGAAGGATCTCCCATTGCTGAGTTATCAGGCAATAGAGTGGTGGATGAAATCCCCTGTAAGCAGCACAAAATGCCACACACAAGCACAATCTAAGTAAAAAATTATTATTAGGAGCCAGCTGGGAACAAACGTGGGACAAGCAGAAAGTGCCGTTATGCAGCTGCGTAAGTCTGTGGTGCTTTCACAGGTGGCATCCACCAGTGATCAACCCTCCTCAAAAAAGGATAGAACAGACTTGGGACAAGTGCAGAAAGGTATTGAGCACAATCACAATGATGAGGTTTTTCTGAGAAAACAGAAAGAATATAGAAACTTTCATGTGGGAAATAGATGATTAGCAGAGGATATGCAAGAGAGGATATGAAATCAGGAGAGCAGGGGAGAAGGCAGGTAAGAGACACTGGTGCTCACAACAAAAATAAGTGGTGGCATCAAATGGGAACCAGAAGCTTTAAAACACCTGATAAGGTAACACAGAGCGTGTAGTGAAACTGGTGCTCATTACCCAGCGGATGTAGGTGCCAGAAGTAAAATGGGTTCGAGAGCCTAGATCAAGAGCTATCAAATGCAGAGATGCAAATACTCTCTCTGGCTCAGGAAGTCCCTAAACCAGGGTTTCCAGAAGCTGACGGTGCATCTGTGGGATGCAGCACCCTCCAGGTGTGTGCTCACCTCGCCCAGCTGCAAGATGAGGCTGAATCTTGGTCCACAGCCCCTGGAGAAACTCCACTTGTGCAGGCAGTGCCATGCACTGGCATCGCAGGGAATAACGCTGCCCGCAGCCATCGTCAGGGCAGCACAGATGATCCCAAAGAGGCCTGCATGATCTTGGTGTTTATGCTGCTTCCTTGAGCACCTCCACCAGCTTTTCTTGGTAGGATTTGCATAAAGATACATCCTTGCCTCTCTTGCCTGGGAGATTATACCTGGGAGTTGTTTCACTGAAGAATCAATCCTCAAGCAATGCTGAATGGATCCTTTTAAGAGAAGTCAGACAACTAGCAATGAATTACAGCTAGATGGCTTCCTAAACCACCCCAGCACGCACAGATCTCATCCCAGAACAGCCAGATTACTCCCAGCACAGGCTGATGAAATCTCTTGATTTCTCTCTCTGGGAAATCTTACCTCCTGCAGCATGCTGTCAGCATCCTCCCCCTCTCCTCCATCTTCTGCTCATCCTCTTAGCGATTCCCTTTCATGTCATGTCTTTGATCTTTACTAGAGAAGGGAAAAGGGATTAGAAGGCAGGAAAAGACCACCATTAAAACCTAATACCCAGAGAACAAGATTTCTCTTGTATCACCATGCGCTCCTTCAGCTCATTGCCCCATGTGGATCTTGATGGCTCTACCACCTCTCCCAATTCAAGACCTTTTTCACAGAATTACAGAATCATTCAGGTTGAAAAAGCCCCTTGGGATCATCAAGTCCAACCCTCAGCCCGACTCTACAAAGTTCTCCCCTACCCCACATCCCCCACAGCTCATCCCAACGACCCTTAAACACCCCCAGGGATGGGGACTCCCCCCCTCCTTGGGCAGCCTATTCCACTCTCTGACCACTTTTTTTGTGAAAAGTTTTTTCCTCATGCCCAGTCTGACCCTCCCCTGTTGCAGTTTCCAGCCGTTCCCTCTTGTTCTGTCACCAATTCCCTGGGAGCAGAGCCCAGCCCCAGCCTCTCTGCAATGTCCTGTCAGGAGCTGCAGAGAGTGACGAGGTCTCCCCTCAGCCTCCTCCTCCTCACACTGAACACCCCCAGCTCCTTCCCTGGCTCCTCACAGGATTTATTCTCCAGCCCTTCCCCAGCCTCGTTGCCCTCCTCTGCCCTTGCTCCAGCCCCTCGAGATCTCTCTCAATATATATTGAGGTGCCCAAAACTGGACACAACCCTCCAGGTGTGGCCTCTTTTTTCTAACCTTCCTTTCTGTTTTCAGTAACAGGCGACACTCATGCAGGCACAGTTTTCAGAATATATTTTAATGCTGGTATTTGAGACTCAGGGCATCTGGCTGATCACAGAGTGATCGAAGCTGTACAGTCTCTTTTGTGTTGCACATAAGCTGCTGTACACGAGAACCAGTTGGCCACTGCTTATTCAGCATACCAGTGACACGAATCACAAATGCCAGATACACTCAAACTCTGTCTTCTGGTATTTTGGCCATGCCTGCACACATATGTATATGTATAACACTGTGTCTGTGCATTAATTTTCCTATGTCGACTAGCTGCATTTTCAAAGCAGAATCTCATTTGTTTGTTTTCTTCCAGTATATTTAATTTTCAAAGGTCCTGTTCCTACAGCTGGTGATTTATAACAAACAAGAATTTGCTGTGACTGTTGAAAAATTGTTTTGAATTGCTCTCTCTGAATAGCTGTATGGGCATTTGTTTCCTTTTGATCCCATGAACATTCAGGAAAACTGATATGTGAAAAATTATGCATATGGGCTATGCTGACCCTGCGTGAGAGTTCTGGGCAGACTCGAGAGAGATCTGGGAAGGGACTGTGATGTGTGTGTTGAGAAAGGAACTATCTGAAGCAGTAATTCAGGGTGCACCATTTCCAGGCAGCCCTTATGTTGAATGTTTCGAGGTAAACTACTCAGCAATTGCCTGTCAATAATTCACCAGGCCGAAGGGGTTGGGGAAGAGCAGGAGCTGCAGTCCTTGCTGGCTGGGCACAAGGGACTGGCATTTGTGGCCAACCACCACTCACTGGGTTTGGCTTGTTTGGGACTCCGAAGCAGTTTGTGCAACCTCTTGAACATCGTGAAATGCATGTGCCATCCCTTTCCTGCAGGCACACATCACTCGCAGTCAGCTTTTGTTGTCTGGAGTTTCTGTTGTTGTCCCCTGTCCCTGGAAGGTGCTGCTGTGGCACTGTGTAAATATGAACTGAGGTTATTTTCTGTTGCTGATAATTTTTAAAACAGCTGTACAGATTTTCCTCAAAGAACAAACATCAAAAAGCCTCAAAAGCAAACATCTAATATCAGTGTGAACCCTGGGGTGCACCATGCCCTTAGCCTGTATCTTCTGACATATTTAAAGAGTAGCTTGATGTCTTATCTTTACGTTTCACTGTGCTTTAACTTAGAGGAATAAACTAACTGGGGAGGTGGCCAGAGAAGTCCCTCCAAAATACTGGGAGAAACTTACTGGCTTTTGCTGCAGAATCTGTTCTCTGTATTGCAGGGTCAAGGCCCCAGCAGCTGCAGAGTCCAGGAATGTTCAGCGAGCTGTAGCTCACACTTTTCTTTTTCCTTTTCTTTGAATACAGGATCTGAAGAGGAGGTCCAGGATGTCCATGAACACTCAGTTTAATAAAACACTGGCCTGTTTTCTTACTGGTGAGCTGGAGTGGACAAAGATGTTCAGCACACTGACCGTAGAGGAGCTCACATTTTGCTCTCTGCACAGGCAACATGTAATAACCGACCCTGACCTGCACAGCCCACGCCAAGATGCAGACTGCAAATAAGCAACATGACACTTGTGGTCTCCTCACATGTTCCCATGTTGTGATGGTCACACAAACACAGAGCCATGATCTCCAGGTCCCCTTCGCCTTTGAAGGCACAGGCAGCCCATCTTCATCCTGTGGCATCTATCTGCATGGGCTGGCTCGCTCAGAGACTGGTCTTGGGACCAGCTGGAGTGCTCATGGAGCGAGTGCAAGCTGCTATTTTGGCATGTTCATGCCACAGAAGGTTTTGCTAAACACTTCAAAAATAAACAAGCCTTCGAGACCGAAAGCTGCAGAAATGACTTTCTGTGGCCTGGTAGCTTCTGACTTCATTTCCTCACTTAGGTCAAAAGCCAGACTTCTTCATTTAACTTTTTCACTCTTATTTCAGACACAGGAAGAAGCTGTTCTCCATCTCAACACTCACAGGTCTGCCCTGCAAAGTGCTGCTTCTGTCTTCATTGGAAACCAACAGCTCTCACCATTGCCCCTCAGCTGATGCCATCTCGGCCATTTGCTGTGTTTTGCCAGCAGCAGGAGAGGTGAAGACACAGGGACGATATCAGCATTTCTGGGAAGGAGCAGGGTCAGGTTCTTTCCGTTGCAAGGAATCCACCCTCTCATCTGGCAATGTGAACAAATCTTTTACTCATCCTCTAACTCTTCCACCTACCCTCAAAATAGGTGAGATGGCCAGCCCTGTTAAGAGCCAAGCTCATTTCACAGAATCAACTAGGTTGGAAAGGACCTTGAAGATCATCCAGTCCAACCATTAACCCAGCACTGACAGTTCCCAACTACACCAGGTCCCTCAGCGCTTTTGAGCATATTTCAAACCTGGAGATGCCCCCGTCACAGGAGTCATGGAAAATCTTGAGTTCACATGGCTCCTGCTTCTCTCCTTCCACCCTCGTTGCCCCAAGACACAGCAAAAATTCCCAGAAAAAACATCCCAGCAAAATGCAGAGCAGAGCCCCATCCATCACGCAGCCTTATCTTTGTATTTCTGAAATGATCCTGTGAAGGAAGTTTTCAGAATACCCTTCTGCCTTTTCTGACATTTTGATGATGGAAAGAAAAGCTTCCGAGAAATTGCTAGGCTCTTGGTTTATTACTTTTTTCCCCCCTCCCATTTGTGGGGGTTTTTTTTGGAATGTCTCTAGTTCTTATTTCCTACATCTCATAATCTGGGGACATTCAAGTAAAATAAAACCTGCCAAATTCAAAACATATAAAACCCAGTTTTCATACAGCAGGGAATTAAGACTGTAGAGTTCATTGCCCCAAATGATCATTCAGGCCAAAGAATTTGCCAGATTCCCACATGAAGTGCACGTTTATATGGCACCAAGTGTTTCCAGAGTTAATGCTAATGAAACATAGGTGAGGATTCAACACTGGAGCTGAAGGTAACTCCTGACACTTTGAAACCCAGTCTAAGGACAGACTTCCCCCATCTGCTCAGTGCTCAGTAACCTTTCTGTGTCTTCCTTTGAAGCAGCAGCTGCTTCTCCAGTTCAAGAGAGCGCACTGGTTTTGTAGTCCCACTTCAGGATAATCCTGCCTCTGCCTTCCTTCCTTGGTGAGGAAAACTTCTTATGGGGTTTGCTGCCTTTGAAAAAGGCATCTTTGTCCTAGCTGCTAATCAGTCACTGACATTCAAGTGATGGTAGTAGAAGCCAGCCAATAGCGCACTGTTTCAAACAAAGCATTATTCCTTTGCTAATGTTCATTTCTTGTCGCCTGTGACCAAGCCAGTGCAGGACCTTTCAGTCTAAAGAAGAGCTGAATTTCTTTCATCAAAGAAACCAGCAGAATTGTATTTTAACCTTTCCAGGTTCTTTGTGCTTTTCCTACAGAGCAAGCAGAAGACATAAGCTCAGATGTTTTCTCCCTTACAGGGAAGTCAGTCTTAAACTAGAGGAAGAAAACCCAGGAGTGGGTCTAGATTCCCCCTGTTCAACTTCTTGTGCACGTGGTCCATGGCTTGTCTCAACCAGCTCCTTGACTGGAGTCCTTGACCATCCTGGAGAGCTCAGATGACTTTACAGAGGGGAGGATCATGAAGTCCAGGTGCTCCCAGTGATTTCTTTAGGAATCAAGAAGGCTGAGAGCCTCCAGGGATGCATTTCACTGCCTCAAAAGAACGAGCATCTAGTTTGCAGTCTAAAAGTCCTCCTCTCTTTCCCTCCTTATTGTTAAAAAAAATGAGGGCTCTGAACCTGTGGCAAGCCCCCAGCTTCTTGGAGAAAGTGGTCAGCACTAACGCACCCTTTCCACTCCCTACTGCAGTATTACCAGGCTGTGCAGGGCAATGCCTGCTTTAAAGTGTTTTCCTTTCCTGATGTTATGCTGCTGTTCCTTCTCATCTAGAAAACGGCCATCCTAGATGCTGGGCCCTCTGCCCGGGGCTTGCGGAGCTGCATGAGAGTGTGCAGGTCTGCCTCGGTGGGTTCTCAAGTGGGAGGAGAGGGAGGAACTCCCTGGGAAGGTGGTTTTTAAGATCCTCTTCAGTAGCTGGACTACCATCCTTGGCTGCCTGGAAGGGAAGCAGCAATATCTGAGAAAGTGGGGAACAGCTCCTCTCAGTTCCTGCACCTCTCGTGTCTGGGTGATGCTTTTGAGTGCTCAGTACCTTTGGGCTGCCACCACCGAATTTCTTGAGCATCACTGCAATAAAGCAGAGCTCATTTCCCTTCATTGCGTCCAAAGTCCCAGCTGGAAACTGATGGAAGCCAAAACATCCTGAACTCCCTCTCTCCGAAACTGAAGCCCCAGCCCCTCCCCAGGGAGCACCGTCTTCCCGGGACCTCTCACCCCGCCAAGCTGGGTACCGTGGGCCAGGCTGGCTGGACCTCCTCCCTCCCTGCACAGAGCCTCTGCTCTCCCTTTTATAATGTTCAGATCCTTTTGAAATGTGAATATAGGTTTGGTTATTTGTTGTTGTTTTTTGTTTTGTTTTCTGAGTCTCTTCTGGCTCTTAGGGTTTGGGAATAAATTATGACCCCCCCCAAAAAGAGGAAGAATACGTTTTATATATATGCAAAACTGTGTATTTATGTCCGATAGAAACAAAGATGTGTGAATATGCTGATGTGCTCAGAAATATATTTATTTACTAATATATTTATCCATGTACCCGGTCTGCTCGCCTGCTTTTGTCCGTTATAACAAGCCGTTGGGGCTGTGCCCCAAATGGCGCCTCCGCTCAGCGCCATGGAAACAAACCGCTTGGACGGCGGCCTGGGCCCGGTGAGAGGGGCCCGCTCTGGCAGGAGCCTCCGGCCGGGCCCGTGGCCCGCTCTGCCCCGTCACCGGAGCCCCGAGGCCC